TATATACCCTATTTCATTTTTTCGCTCAAACTTTTGTAGTCAATTAATTAAATATACTATTGGTAATATCGAGAAGAACATATATTAATTAGGTAATAACATAATAGCACAATGGGTAACAATATGTATGGTAGTTTATAATATAATTGGTAATAAGCATATTCAGTCAACTGCACGAATAAGTATATGCATTTTATATTTAAAAATTTAAATTTCTGTCTTTTGTTTAAATTTAAAGATTTAATGATTTTACATTACTTTGAATATTCATTTGTTTTATTCGTTTATCGACACCATGTTCATATGTGAAATTATAGTATTTAATAGAATATTTGAAAAATAATTATTAATTGGTAATAAAAACAGCACGGAATTTAGGCCAATTAAAATAAGAAATGACTATTAATAATTGATTAAAATTAAAAATGGTTCGAAATTGACTCAAATGCAAAAAATAAAATGAATATTAATACTTGATTAAAAAAAATAAAAATGAAATAAATATTAAAACTTGAATATTAATAAATTACTGAAAATATAAAAATTTTCATTGAAATTAGGTCAATTGGAAAATGAAATGAATATTAATAAGTTATTAAAAATATAAAAATTACTGGCATAAAATGTATTAATAAATATGTAAAATAAGTTTGCATCTTAACGTTTAACTGAGATAGAAAGAAATATTAATCTCGATTATATATTTTATAAAATGTAAAGTTAGTGGAAACATAAAAAAAATTGTTATTAATAATTAACTAATTAATCAATCTATATATAATTAAAAGTAAAATCCTCCTAGCAAAATTTCCCCCCAAAACTTAGGCCTCCATAGAACGGAAATATTTCAATAATAATATCTACATCATCAGTTAAAAATGAAATGAAAATTATGTAAAAATATCACTGCATCTGATTTCTAATTGACTCATTGACTGAAAAAGAAAAAATAATTAGCTGAAAATGAATATGATATTACTAATTGACTGAAAATATAAAAGGATTGACAACAAATAAAAAATAATTCATAATTGACTAAAGTGAAAAAAAATGGTCAGATCATTGCATTTTAATTAAAAATTAGACGGAAATATTTCAATAATAATATTTTACATCATCAATAGTAAATGCATATTTTAAACAATAGTAAAGGTAAATTAAAAATTGAACAGAAATATTTCAATAATAATATTCTACATCATCAATTAAAAATAGAATGGTAATTAGGTAAAAATATCACTACATCTGATATTCTAATTGAATAATTGACAGAAAAAAAATAATTGGCTAAAAATGAATATGATATTACTAATTGACTGAAAATATAAAAGGATCAATAATTGACTTATATTCTACGATTATATATTTTCACCCGAGTCACTCATCCTAATAGACTGAATATGTTAACTATAGACGAGGATTGACAAGATTGTGTTGCTACTACCAATGTCGTATACAATGAGGTTTCAATAATGTGTAAATACAATCGGTGATATTATGTTTTTTTAAATGGCAAAATTGCTATATATCTAGACAAAAAATCTATTTTCCATACAAATGAATTAGGATAGCAATTCATTCCTATAATTGAGTTGTTAAAGAATGAGCATGTTTGCCTAATTTATAAAAATACTAAATAATGATAAATAAAATCTTCAAAGTTACACAGCACCGCATGCGTACATCTACACATTAGCTATTAATTTGAGCAATTATTTACTCAAATTCAAGCAACGATAACATCAAAACATATAAACGATCCAAATCATATTTTCAATTCCACTATATAATATTTGATATTCTAATTCAAATAATTATATATCAATCCAAATATTCGTATATATTACATCAAATTCATTCCGTGCATCGCACGGGCGCAAATACTACTGATAATAAATAAAGAAATAATTAAAATATGGAGATAAAATTGTGAGTCTACAAAAATTGTGAAAAATATTAAAACTAATGGGAAGAAGAAATTTTGTGATTGAGTGAGATAATGGATGATGAGGTGGATGTTGGGGCCCACAAAAATCTAGGTAAAATCCCCTAAGATACAATATATCACTTTACCACGTGCACTGATAGTAACACCAAACAACACATCTCAACTTTTTTTGGAACCACCAAATGTTATTGTGAGAAATATATTTTAATAATTAATATGAGGTTATAGATTTTGGAGGGTTTACATGAATCTAATAATATCTGTACAAAATTACAAGACAAACAATTAATTGTGACAAATATATATTGATAACTCTCCCCCAACCAACAGACCCATCTGATCTTTAATGCATATATGCAAGCTCAGCAGTCTAATCCAGTTCCAGTTTCTCAGCTTTTACTGGCCACTAGATTAGAGCATACGTGTTGTGGCAATAGCTGCACCAGGTTTAAGGTTGTGGTGGTGAATTTGGGCTTCCAAATGATATTGTTGTTTGTGGTTTTAAGGTTGTGGTGGTGAAATTTGGGCTTCCAAATGATATTGTTGTTTGTGAATTGTTGGGCAAAAGCGGGTGAAGGGCCAAGTCTATCACTAGATGGTTAGGGGATTGTTGGGCAGAGGTCTGAAGGGCCAAATATAACACCATGCCTCTCGAAAATGTGGCAGTATAAAGAAATAAAGTTACGCATTATTCGCTACTAAGCATAACTTTTGACGGGGATACTGTGGCATATAAATCTCCCTCAAGAATACAAAATAAACATTCATATTCAATGATTTTACAAGTGTTTGAAGTGGTTTGTTCCTTATTGACTTTAATGGTTTGTTCTTTTTATCTTTGTTATTTTTATCCTCATAAGTGGTCTATACACCTTTCTTTTATTTGTCGACCAATCAAATCACACCAGTGTATTTTTCTTTATTTTTTTGTGGAGCCCATGATGACTTCGATGATAGAGAAGGAGGTGAGAGAATCTATTTTTAACTTCTGCAAGTAAATGATTTTTTGTGGATATCAAGGAGAGTGAAAAAAATGATACATGTTTTACCTAATAACTATTACTTGTTTTATTTTAACTTGTGTGTGTGTGTGTGTGTGTGTTTTTTTTTTTTTTTTTTGCAAAGTTTTGCAGCACATTCAGCACTAGAGTTGGATCTTCACTGCCTACATTACCTGTATGGCTACATATTTATTCTGAATTTCTAATTAAAGCATAAAGCATTTGATTAGTTATTTTGATGTTTGATGAATGATAACCGTGTCTGTATTAGTGTATGTGTATCAATATCCCTCAATCCTTGATTCCTTGACTGGGAACTGAAAACTGCTCATGGCCTGGTAACGTTTTAAATGTTGATGTCATTGAGCTCAGGTATCAATAGTGATTTTTGCCTTTGGCCCCTTTATCATTGAATGGTGACTGGTAATGTATATGACTTCACTTGTGTCCCTATCTCTCTTATTCAGTTATTACTTATTAACTTATTCTTGTGCAATGATGATGCTTCCACCATGTTGTCTGAATATATAGAATTGAGTTTGGTATGTTGCCAGTGTGGTGTTTATGCCATACTCATTGAGAAATTTGCCCCAATTCATACTTTATCTAGGGAAAAAAAAAACAATATGAGCACTCTTTATCATGTTAATTCAATCAATTGTTCCAATGTATCAAATTATCAATGTTTCAACTTTCAATGTTTTGAACTTATCAAACTTTAATGTTATCACTTATCAGGAAAAAAAATAGAATTGTCAATATTAGATAATATGTTATTAGTGGTATACTGGTATTCTTGTGTTGACTGATGATTAGAATGCTTGCTGCTGGTTGTAGAATGGAGAATGCTGATGTCTGCCTGTTGAATTCTAAAAACATTCATGCTTTGAAGTTTGAAGTTCTAAGTTATAAGTTGTAAATTTGTATGCTTTAAAGTTCTAAGTTGTAATTCTAAGTTCTAACTGGTGTAAAGTATAAACTGGGTAAATTTGTTTTGGATTTGGGCAGTTGGACTTAAGTAGTTAAGTACTTAAGTGTTTATGTTTAATTTTGAAGTTTGAATTTGTGATTGTGTAATTTTGTATGAATGTAAATGTGTAATAGACTATGTCTTGTAAAAAAAAATGATTTTAATTAAGTAAATTTTAGATTTTTCAAGTTACATTTTTTCTTTAGCAAAATCGAACTATCCGACGAATTAATCAGATATCCGTCGGATTAGTTCGGCCATATATACGACGATTTTGACTTAAAATTTAAACTGATAATACCTCCAAAATGAAAACTGTACCGAAACCTGTTCAGATCAACCGTGAACTCGATCCGTCCGAACTCGCTCGATGCTCAACCATAGATTGACTTATTTCCTTATTAGATCGAATGAATTGGACCTCGTTTTCCCTTGCTCTCTTGCTATTGATTAAGGGTGTGCTTGGTTGGTGGGTTTTGCCCATAGGAATGGGTATGAAAGTGATTGTTGTTGTTTGGTTGATAGGTTTTTAGAACACTACTATGAGTTTCGAATATCCCATCAATTGAAAAATCCATACCCAAATACAATAAGGGTTTCATTCCCTTATTCATTCTCAACCACTACTATTAGTAACCATTCCCATTCCACCCTACTACCAAACATGTTAAATGTTTTCACCAAAACACATTACCATTATCAAGTATTTGATACCCATTCCGATTCTGATTCCTTTGTGTGAACCAAAGACACCATAAACTTATTACACTAGCGATCACCTCTCCCAAAATTACTTAGTGCGCAAAAGTAATTTTACGAGGGATGTTGCTGAAATATAATTAAAAAGTTGAGATTACAACCAATCTTGTTGTTAGGGCAACAGTACCCAATGAGATTTTTTCATAATATATATTTTGCTTATTTGGTAGACAATATGAATAATAGAAGTGATGAGAAGATATGTATATAAGGTAGGTAGGTGAGATGCAAAAAATCCTCTCTCTAGAATTTCTTTCTCTCGTGGCTTCCTTCTTTCTTTGGTAAGTTTCCGGTAGATCCACCGTTCGTGGAATTGCCTTCCATGGATGTAGCGACTAGTGAGCCGCTGCCGAACGCATCTCCGGTAGTCGAAGGGGAAGCAAGAAGGGCTCCACATGCAGGGAAGAGGATCAAAATCCTCAAACGGTCGTTTGCCGACACCACAACGGCCTCCTCCATGTCTGACGATGTTAACATGTCGGAAGAGAATGATGCCGACTGGCTGGAGGAGGAGTTGACGGTACAGTCGGATTCGGAATCGGAAGATGTTAGGGAAGGGATTCCGGTGGTTAAGTTCTCTAAGGCAGAAAAGGAAGATATGGCAAGGGCCTGGAAGAGAGCCCTAATCATTAAGTATCTAGGGAAACCTCCAGCTTTTCCAATCTTGCAACAGAGGCTCCTGCGAATGTGGAACATCGCGGGGAAAATCGAGATGCTTGATATGGGATCGAGTTGTTACGTGGTTCGTTTTGCACTGGCGGCAGAATATAAGCATGTTCTCCTGGGAGGACCTTGGAAGCTGTTTAATTGCTATGTCATTCCCCAAAGGTGGCGGCCAGATTTCGATCCACTCATGGCAAAAATGGAGAAGATGGCGGTGTGGGTACGTTTTCCGGGACTCCCGCCGGAGTACTTCCGTGAGAAGTATATTAAGAAAATTCTTAAGTTTATTGGCAATCCTATCAAGTTGGACAAAACCACTGATGGTGTTGAGCGAATAAAGTATGCTAGAGCAGCGGTCGAGATCGACCTGCTGAAACCGCTTGTCTCGAATATCTGGGTAGGAGAGCGGATTCAACGGGTTGAGTTCGAGGGCTTACACGCGATCTTTTTTTATTGCGGGGAAGTAGGCCATGTCTCTGCGAAGTGTCCAACACGAAAGGCGGCTGAGGGTGATGCGCAATCAACGCCGGAGTCTGAAGTTCCGATGGAGGTTGCAGAAGGGAGAGAAGCCCCAGCAGAAAAAGTTCATGAAAAATATAGATCTTGGATGCTCGTCACGAAGAAAAACGCTAAGCCCCCTCACATCACCAACCATTCGGATCCTAAGAGAAAGACAAAGCCGCCTAAATCTAAGGAACGACATAGCAAAAAGAAAGGTGTGGCGAATGAGGGGGTTCGTCATGCAGAGATCCAATCTGCCAATCTAGAGGATAAGGTAAGTGACTCTCCCCCTACTTTGCCAGTGAGTAATGGGTTTTCGGTGTTGCAGAATATGGAGGAACTGCATGAGACTCCGGTCTTCGTTGAAGGGGAGTCTAGCAGGTCTGCCTTGCGTACCGCCACCAAAATGCCACTACAAAAAGGGAGGAAAAACAAAGGCAATAAGCAATCCGCTGCTCTTGGCCAAAAGTCGAGAGACAAGACCGCTACGCAAGGTCTCACTCTGATGGGAACCTCAGGCAGACAAGTTTCGACAGCGGCAGCCAACTCCTCTCATGATATGCACCAGCCGACGAGCACCACTTTGGGAGATCTCCCTCTGTTAGTTCAAGAAGCTAGAACCAGTGCCTTTGTGTTTGGATCAGTTCTGGGTAATCTACGTAATGCTCAGGTTGTGGGAGGTTTATCTCCAGTGACGAATAGCGGGAAGACGCAGAAGGGGGGCGGTGGCCAAACCCCCTTGTCTCGGGCTCCCGGTCAATGATTGTTATTTCTTGGAATTGTCGGGGAGTTGGGAACCAGGAAACTATTCGGCATACCAAGATCCTATTAGCAAATAAGGACGTGGGTGTTATCTGTTTTCTGGAAACCAAAACCAACAAGGCTGATAAGTTGCTTAAAATGCTTAGTAAGCTGGGTTTCAATGATTTTTTTATGGTTAACCCCCTCGGTTTTGCCGGGGGCCTTCTTTTGGTTTGGAACAGGAATTTGCTGAGCCTGGACGTCTGTAGCAGCAACTCCCAATCAATACATTGTACTGTGTCGGAGGGAGGAAGTCACTATTGCAAAAATCGCGTTTAGTTGCCGATTAGGCGCTAGGCGCCCGGTCTCCTAGGCGGCCTAGGCACCCGGCTAGGCGCCTAGAGGGCGCCTAGCGACTTTTTCAACATTGGAGGAAGTACTCAGAGTCACTTGTCTTTCGCTTATGTTAGACCCAATCTAAGGGCTAAGGAGTTTTTTTGGGAGAGTTGTAAAACTTTTAGTGAATCTCTGACTGGCCCATGGGTCAGGCTCGGGGATTTTAATGATATTTCTAACCTTTCAGATCACTGGGGCAGCGACCAAGTCAACATGAATAATATTTCAAGATTTTGTGAGGCTTTCCAAAGTTGTGGGCTTATGGAAGTCGGCTCTACGGGACCAAACTTTACTTGGAATAGACACAGGGGAGGCCGCATAGTCACAAGACTGAGACTCGATCGTGTTTTCTGTAACATTGATGCGCAAGAAGCCTTTCCCGAAGCCAAGGCTAGGGTCTTAACTAGAACACATTCTGACCATCACCCCATTTCTTCTGTCAGCATGGCAGGTCGGGCACCCGACAGGAAAAATAGACCCTTTCAGTTCGAAGCTGCCTGGCTCACCCATGTGGATTATAAAGAGATTTGGAAAAGAGCTTGGAAGGATAACCCGCTTGATGCCGTGGGGGCCATTAGGGCGGTTACAGAGCATAGAAAAAAATGGAACGAAGAGGTTTTCGGGAACATCTTCAGAAGGAAAAGATTACTACAAGCTCGGATTAATGGGATACAGAACTCGCCCTGGTACAGCACATCCCGGGGCCTCCAGGTGCTGGAGCAGAAAATCCTAAAGGAGCTCAATCTAGCGCTCTCTCAAGAAGAACTTCTCTGGTTCCAAAAATCTAGAAGGAGATGGGTTCAAGATGGGGATAAAAATACTAGATTCTATCATAGGTCCACCATTATCAGAAGAAGCAAGGGAAGAATCAGGACGCTGAAAGTCAACGGCGAGTGGAATTCTGAGCCCCAGGTTCTCAAAGATCACGTGACTCATTTTTTCTCTAACTTGTTTTGCAGGTCCAACCGAGGCGAATCATGGACCCCGGATTCCCATACGGGTTTGTGCTTAACTAGTAGAGAAGCCGAAACCATAACCAGACCGGCGGGTTGCGAGGAAGTCAAGAAGGCCGTCTTTGGTATGAAGAGGTGGGGTAGCCCGGGGCCGGATGGTATCCAAGCTGCCTTCTACCAAGATTACTGGGACGAGGTAGGTAACAACATTACCAGGTTTGTTAATGAGGCTTTGGCGACAGGTAAAGTTCTGGTTAACTTTCTTGAAGCTTTTATCTCTCTTATCCCTAAGAAAGAGAATCCTGAAAGTGCAGCGGATTTTCGGCCCATCACTTTACTTAATGTCATTTTTAAGATTTTGTCTAAAGTTTTAGTTAACAGATTGAGGCCCATGATGGTTAAGCTTATCGGACCTCACCAGAATAGCTTCTTGCCGGGGAGGTCCACCCTGGATAATATTGTTCTTACTCAGGAAATCATTCATACCATAAACAAAAAGAAAGGTAAAAGAGGTTCCCTAGTCATGAAGATTGATCTCCACAAGGCGTATGATAGTTTAGACTGGGAGTTCCTGGAAATGGTTCTTAAAGATTTTGGGTTCCCCATGCGTTTCATTAACCTTATCCGGTTTTCCCTTAAAGAAAGCAGGATTGGCATTCTCTAGAATGGTGAGAAACTAACGCCTTTTGAACCAGGAAGAGGGCTGAGACAAGGTGACCCTTTAGCTCCGTACTTGTTTATCCTGGTGATGGAAAAACTCTCCTATGCTATTCAGAATGAACTAAACAGTGGCAAATGGAACCCGGTTCAGATTTCAAGAGGAGGAGTTGGGATCTCACATCTCTTCTTTACAGATGACCTGATGATTTTCGGTGAGGCCTCTGAAAATCAAACCGAGGTCATCATGGGCTGCCTTGACAAGTTCTCTCGCTGGTCAGGTTTGAACATTAATCTCTCTAAATCGCTTATCTATTGTTCGCCTAACACTCCTAACAGGTTAAAACGGAGAATAGGTGTCATAGCCAAGATCCCGGTAACTGAGAATCTGGGCAAATACCTTGGGATCCCAATCCTGCAGAAGAGAATCAGCAAGCAACATTTCAATTACATCCTTGATAATATGAGAAGGAAACTTAATACTTGGAAGTCAGATTCTCTAAGTCTAGCTGGGCGTAGAATTTTGGTTCAATCGGCGGTGGCCACAGTCCCAGTTTACACTATGTAAACGATGGCCCTCCCCGCAGGTACTTGTAACGATATTGACAAAATATGCAGGGATTTTCTTTGGGGGTCTAACGAGAATAAGAGGAAAATTCATCCTATCAATTGGAGAGATGTCTGCAGGCCCCGGGAATTGGGGGGCATCGGCCTACGGATGGCAAAAGAGTTCAACCTAGCGCTCCTTTCCAAACTTGCGTGGCAAGTGATTAATAATCCAAATAAACTTTGGGTCCAAGCCTTAAAAAATAAATATATACACGAAGAGAACTTTTTTACGTCTCCTACTCCACAAAACATATCATGGGGATGGAAGAGCATTTTAAGAGGGCGGTCTGTTGTGGAGTCGGGGGCCCGATGGAGGGTGGGAAACGGAAATACTCTGGATTTTTGGTCAGATTGGTGGGTTGGTGACAAACCCCTTGGACTGGAAATGAAAGTAGATGTGCCGGATAACCTCCAAAATGTCAAAGTTAGCAACATCATCACAGAGAACCGAGAATGGGACGTGGATGCCATGCTGGATTTTCTGCCAACCGGGGTTGTGAACTTGATCCGTGCGGTTCCGATCCCCGTGGAAGAGACGACAGAGGACAAGCTAGTCTGGCCGGGATACACCTCAGGTACTTTTTCTGTAAAATCAACGTTCTCTTTAATTGTAGGTGATGTTGACGAAGATGAAGATTGGTCCTGGGTGTGGAAGTTGAGCTGCATGGAGAAAATAAAAACCTTCTTATGGCTTTTGCTTAAGGGGAAGCTGCTGACGAACTCTGAGATGGCTAAAAGGAAGCTGACGGATGACGATTCTTGCAAGAGGTGCTGGAATGAAGAAGAGACCACAGCTCATATATTCCGTGACTGTCATTTCGCAGCGGACTGCGGGGAAATTGCCAAAGCTCAAGGAGGAGTGGAGCCAGCGACCTTCATGTCGATCAATTCGTGGGTGAAAGCAAACTCTGAAAGCAAAACCTACATGAACGATGGAAACCCCTGGAGGATCACGTTCGTCTACATCATTTGGCTTTTGTGGAAAGCTAGAAACGGCCTCATATTCAACGGTAAATCAGAAAGCCCAGGGCATATCGCTAAAATGGCCGGGTCCTTAGCCAGTGAAGCAAAAAATCTTATCCTCAAGCATGGGGTGATTTGTATGGCTACTGCAATTGGATCAGTTGGTCACCTCCCCAACCGGGTTTCTTGAAACTCAACACAGACGGGGCTAGGAAATCCAACACGGGTTTAGCAAGTGCTGGGGGCATCATTCGAGACGAGTGCGGCCGGTGGGTAAAAGGTTTCGCAGTCAGAATCGGGTTCACATATAGGTTCTCAGCAGAGTTGTGGGGCCTAAGGGAGGGTTTACGACTCTGTCTGAGGGAAGGGTTCTATAGGGTTTGGGCGGAAATGGATGCTACAGCAGTTGTGGCTATTATGAACAAAAGAGATCAAAGTGAAGATACGGTGGTGGCGTTAGTAAAAGACTGTATTGATCTCATCAATCGTTTTCATAATTTTAAGATTTCTCACATTGAACGAGAGGGGAACCAATGTGCTGATTGGCTTGCGAATTTCGGCCAGAATATAGATTGGGGAACGCTCATCTTGGACTCGGCACCAATAGGCCTTTCTAGCCTTCTTGAAGCTGATGCTCGAAGATCTCCAACTGAGAGAAGAAGATAGTGCCCAGTGAGGGCTTCAAATGTACCCAAAAAAAAATATAAGGTAGGTAGGTGGTGATAAAAGTATATAGGTATACGGTTTAATAGATAATAAGAGTAGATAGATAAGTGAAATAAAAATTTGTAAATGTATATAATTAAGAAGAAAAAAAAAAAAAAAAAAAAAAAAAAAAAAAAAAAAAACCTCATTTTCAAATCCTTATGCATTTTCTCGTTAAGCACATTGTTTGGTTGGCAAAAAAAAAAAAAAAAAAAAACTCATTTTCAAAGCTCTAAAGTGAAACACGGTTTGACTAGGACAAATGGCGCAAATTATGCCGTGGAATCGTGTTCACCGAGAATGGTGAACACAAGTCAAAACGACGTCGTTTTTAGGCAAAAAAAAAAAAAAATCGCGGATGTGGAGTTAATGGCGCGTTACTGATCAAATTATGAATTTTCTGTTATGAGATTATGAATTTTATGAAAGATAGAACTACTGTTCTAATGCTGAATATTGGTCTTCTCCCATTCTTTGACGCTATATATATATATATATATATATATATATATATATATATATATATATATATATATATATATAATGCTGAATAGTGGTCTTCCCCCATTCTTTTACGCGCTGAAGGAATGAGGACTGGTTTTATTATTCATTCCTTGATTTTATTTCTAGTTTTTGGGGAACATGCATCATTTCCGGCGCCGGCAAAGTTTAACGTTGGAATGATTGTGGACAAGGAATCGGAGATGGGGAAGACTGTTGGGAGCTGTGTTAAAATGGCGGTCTCGGATTTTTACGAATTGAATATTAAGGGTGTTTATGGAGCAAGTATTCATCTTCACACTCGGGATTCCAAAGGCGACCCATCAATTGCTCTTTCTGCTGGTTAGTTTAATTTTATATCTACTTCTTTTTTATGTTTTTATTTTTTTAGGGTGTTGCTATTTGCACCACACTTTGACCAAAAGACATCTTGAAATTGTAAAAAGTGAAAGCTTTTAATAATTAATAGGGGGTGTAAAACGCTAAATGAGAATACATTTTGCTATTTGCACCACCTGGTCAAACTTATAATTAATAATTTATTAATTCATTATTTAAATAATTAAAAAAAAAAAACGAAACGTCGCCTTCTCCGTTGAGAAGGCGACGGACTGCCTTCTCACCGGAGAAGGCAACCCAGGTAGTTTCGGGGAGAAGGAAACCCAGTGGGTCGCCTTCTCACCGGAGAAGGTGACGGAATTTTTTTTTTTTTTTTTTTACTGAGCTGCCTTCTCCGTTGAGAAGGCGACGGACTGCCTTCTCACCGGAGAAGGCAACCCAGGTAGTTTCGACCTGGGTCGCCTTCTCCGGTGAGAAGGCGACCCACTGGGTTTCCTTCTCCGGTGAGAAGGCAGCCCGTCTCCTTCTCACCGGAGAAGATGACGAGTTCATCTTCTCTTTTTTTTTTTTTTTTTTTTTTTTTTCTGAAATATGTCTTTATTATCCACAAATGTGGATGCTCACGGTTAGCAGAAAACAACTAAGGAGTACAAATGCATTTTTCCCTTATGAATTTCTTTTATCAATTACTTCCTCAACACATCCTCGTTCAATACAGCTCAGGACCTTCTGGAAAATGTTAAGGTGCAAGCAATAATGGTGCCGGAGATGTTTAGTGAATCAGCATTTTTGGGCACACTAGCTGATAAAGCAAGAGTTCCACTTTTGTCTTTTTCTTCAATTCCATCCCCCAAAGGTCATCCCTTTTTTGTTCAAATTTCAGAAGATGAAAGCACTGAATTCCTGGGTATTGCAGCTTTTATAGAGCACCGGAGGGGGAAGGTAATACTCATCTATGAGGACACAGACGAGGGGAGAAGTTCTGTTTTGTTTCTTGGCGACACCCTCCAACACATTAATGCTAGGGTTATTTATAAGAGTGGCATTTCTCCTCTGAGTAGAGATCTTGAAGTCATTGAAGAACTTGCCAAGATAATCAGAATGAAGCCATCAATTTTCATTGTGCACTTGTCACCTTCTCTGGCTTCTCTCCTTTTCCTAAATGCAAACAGGTTAGGGATGCTTAGTGAAGGGTATGTTTGGATACTAACCAGTAAGTCAATGAATTTCTTGTATTCTTTAGATGTTAAAGTGGTTGAGTCAATGCAAGGACTTATAGGATTCAAATCCTACATTCCAGCTTCAAGTAAGCTTGAAAATTTCACTTTGAGGTGGAGAAGGAAATCAGGGGAGTTGAATGTGAATGGCATATGGGCATATGATGCAATTTGGGCTCTTTCTATGGCTGTTGAAAAACTAGGGTCAAGAAATGGCATTCTTGATGGAGATTCAATCCTTAATGAGATTTTAAGATGTAGATTTACAGGTTTAGGTGGTGAGTTTCAGCTTGTAAATGGAAAATTGATGTCCAGGACATATGAAATAATGAATGTGATAGAAAAGGGGTTTAAAAGAGTTGGATTTTGGACACTTGATGAGGGGTTTAGTAAAAGAATTGACCCATTGTTTGTCGAAAGACATGAGCTTTCTACCATTATATCGCCCAGGCTATCTAGTACTACTCGAAATGGTTGGCCTAATCAGATCAAAACTGATAAGCTAAGAATTGGTATTCCAGTGAATCCAAGGTTCAAGCAATTCACTAGAACAATTGTTGATCATGAAACAGGTGCAGTAGATGCAGGTGGCTTTTCACTAGATGTCTTCAATGAAGCCATACAGCACATAGAATATTCTGTACCATATCAATTTGTCTCATTCTTGGTTGAAAATTCTAGCGGACGAACTGATGGCAGTTACACTGATATTCTAAAACAGGTCGAGATTGGGGTAATTTTATTTCTAACTTCAATATGCTTAACAGAAAAATTGGTTTTAGTTTTACATGCTTACTTATTTATTCCATATTGCATTATTGCCCTTGCCCTTCTAGGAAGTCTAGGATTGTTACCCTTGTATTTGAGACATATACAGTATTCTGTATTTCATTTTAGAATTGGCTTGATTCTAATGACATACCTGAATGGATGAATTAGAATTTTGACGCTGTTGTGGGCGATACAACTATTACATCAGACAGATCTTCACTAGTAGACTTCACTTTGCCTTACACTGATCTCGGAGTGGGAACCGTAGTGCGACTGGAGAAACAAGGAATGTGGTATTTCTTAAAGCCAATGGGTGCTGATCTGTGGATTGTGATCACGATTTTGTTTATATTTGTGGGTGCAACTGTTTGGCTTATTGAGCATAAGAAAAATGAACAATTTCAGGGCTCAATAACTCAGCAAATTGGAACAACTTTGTGGTTTGCATTTTCAACTCTTGTTTATGCTCACAGTAAGTCCTTGATCTATACAAGCATTTTTCTCATGTTGTTTAAACCAAAAAGATATCTTTAGCACTTGCAATTCTACCCTAAGCAGCAGATCATAATACCAAGGTTAATGCTACAAACTGCCTTCATCTAAAATCTTTGTTTTTTTGTTTTTTTGTTTTTTTTTTTTTTTTTTTGCAGGAGAAAATCTGCAAAGTAATTTGTCAAGATTTGTGGTAATTGTATGGTTGTTCATAGTCTTCATATTGACATCAAGCTACACTGCAAGTTTAAGCTCAGTGTTCACAGTTCAGCAGATTCAATTAGCAAAGGGGGATTACATAGGTTACCAAACTGGTTCTCTTTCATTCAGATTTATTGTAAACAACCTAAACTTTGATGATAATAGGCTTAAACATTATAATTCCCCTGAGGAGTACCATGAAGCTTTATCCAAGGGGAGTAAAAATGGAGGTGTCGGTGCCATAGTTGATGAAATTCCTTACCTCAAGGTCTTCCTTGCTAAGTATCCATCTCAGTATGCAATTATTGGATCTGCACCAATTACGAATGGTTTTGGTTTTGTAAGTATCAAGTATGCAATATGAGGGGGCAACCCCAGTCAAATTGGTCAAATTGTTGGCTTCATAATCATAAAGTTACAAGTTTAACTTCCAGTGGGAGCGGCCTATTGGCCTTCTTAGTTTCAGCCGGTCAGTTGTGGGTAACCTAGACTGGTTTACATCCTGTAATCCTTTGCCGGCTAAGGTTACAAGACAGGGTTGACTATTGGTTTCCCTCGTCACTCAAAAAAAAATGTATGCAATATGAGATTTCTTGTTTTGGTTCTTTGGTTCAGTATCTGCAACTTACCTCAACTTTTTTGACAGGCTTTCCAAAAAGGTTCACCTTTAGTCCCTAAGCTGTCCACAGCAATTGCCAAAATGAGAGAAGAAGGGAGGCTCAAATACTTGGAAGAAAAATGGTTTACAAACAACTATCAATCATCTTTCATACCTGAGGCCACTGAGGAATCTCAACTCAAGATGCTAAACCTTGATAATCTCCGCGGCCTGTTTATTGTGAGTGTGACCTCCAAGGCTATTGCCCTTTCCATATTTCTGTTTTTTATACTTCGCGAAAAAATATGCTTGAAAAACTTTATTCTACGAATCTTTTCTACACAATTCATGAGAATTATGATAATGAGAGACCTCTTTACTAAGAACACAAACATGATTCCTAATGCCAATGTGGAGATGACTCATGTAAATCCACATTGATGCAGTTACTATATCTTAGTCTTCTGGATCATATCTGTAGTTATTGAATTTTACTGTGTTTCTTTGTAGTTTCACTGAAGTTTGTTCAGAGTATATTTATATATAGATGAACTTGGTGTTGCACTTGTTCTTTGATACATGCTGAGGAAGTCTTATTTTATTATATTACATAGTTTAGATATTAATAAATTACTAAATAGTTATTTAGAAACTAATAAATAGTTATTTAGAAATTACTCCGTACTAAATAGTTAATTAGCTTATTACTCTTAGTCTGCAAAATTAATTTAGGTAGATTAATTATTTAGAAACTACCAAATAATTATTCTTAGTTTAGGAACCTTTGTAATCAACCCTATAAAAGGAGTGTTATTTGGAATAATAGAACAAACATAAATTGAATCCCAAAAGGGTCTAAGGAAGTTTTGGGTCTCAAGCAAACCCAGTGTTTTCTTCTTTTCATTTTCCAACTACTATTCTTTCCTTTCTTTTTCCTTATGTTTTCTTGCCCATGACGGGAGCACATAATATTGGTTTCGTTGCATGTGTCATGGGCGTCACTTGGTCTGAGTTTGAAGCTCTCAAAGAAACTGTGAATGAGTTGAAACTCTTAGCAAAAGAGCTATGCAGACGTCGCCTTGGAGAATTGGGTGAATATACCAATGACCTGAAGCAATGTATTGCAAAATTCCTCAATGACCAAACACCAAAAATCAATACGCCAACTTCCTTAAGAAGCCAGCAAACAGATGACGATGTTACATCACTAAACGTGGATGATTCATCATTCACAATCATTGTTGATCACCCACATGTAGAGATAGCTCCAATACAAGCCACTGTTTCAGCCGATCAGCCTCATGTGGTTTCAACATAGAAGGCTGCTGAAATTGAGATTGTGCCCTTTCCAAAAACTGTCCTATGCGCGGGAGGGTTATTTCACCACTCTCCGACCCCATCTCATTAAGGGTTGTGTCGTATGGTTTTGGTCAATCTTCATCTTTGGTGTCTCCCTCATCATCCAATGTTGTTCCAGATAACTCCTTCAAAGGATGTCCAAGTTTGGGTTCTTCCTCACCAATGTTCGCTCCTCCATTGATCGGTAGAATGCCACTACAGCCTTTTCCATTTGCACTTCTTTTGGTGAGGCCATTTGTAACACTCCATTTTTTCTTAAATCTAAATCACAAATACTTAACTTCGAAAGATAAATTAAACACGATTAAAAATAGATTAATAACTTAAAACCATCCAAAAGGGGTATCACCGCCACAGTCACCGCACATGATGACTGCACAGGCTAAGAAAGGTACTAACTAGAGTCAAGCTCATCGAAAAGCTACATCCAAACTTGGGGAACGAATCCCCGGTGTTCAACACCAACAAAAACTAACATAAATATCTAAACATCATAGTTTAAACATCAACATCCAAATCATAGTCTGTACAAACATCTAACATCTCATGACTAAGCGCTACACTATCTCGTACGTGCTCAAACACCGGGCCCACTTGAAAGGCGTTATAAAAACAGTGGAAAATAAATGCGTTAGCACGAATGCTAAGTATAAAACTACTCCACCCTGTAAAGTACTATAGATATAGATTTTGAAAATCATTTGGCAAGCACACTTAAGTTCAAGTACTTACAACACTTTAATCAACAACTCAAATCATGCTCAACAAGGTACTATATGCTTGCAACTTATTCAACATATGATCATGCTTCCTCAAGTATTCAACTTTAAACATATTCTCATGCTTTAACAACTATTTCTAATCATGGCTCAATACTCAAACTGATACTATCAAACTATCTCACAAACATCAATACAGTGTTATACTTCTCATCATACTTTATATGCAAAACATGCAATAAGTTAGTCATGATGCTTTATATATATATATATATATATATATATATATATATATATATATATATATATATATATATATATATACTCTCGTTCTTTTATAAAAAAGAATACTACTTCTGTGGAGGTTTCTGTTGAGTCACATTGACTCGATTTTTCTCTTCTTTCTCTTGAGTCACACAGACTCGCTATTCTCTTCTATCTCTTGAGTCACACAGACTCGTTTTCTTTCTTTCTTTCTTTACTCGCAGGTGAGGTAGGAACTTCACCACTATGTGAATGAACCTATCCAGGCAAGGCATGTAGCCGGCCTAATACTCATTAGGCCCACGGAACCACTCTTGGTTCTTATCTCAATCTCTGTGGAATCAGGTATCGTACTTGTCAGTGTGCACACTCCCTAACCAGGATTCCAATCCCGGCGGGTATATCTAACCTAGTAACTCGGGAATATCGACCTCGTTACTTCAAACAATCTGTCGGTTCGCAATGTTCGAATTCTTTCCTTTCTCAATCTTTTTTTCTTTCTCTTTTCTTCCGAAGGACAGTCCTATCGGGCCTCCAAAACACTATTTTCTCACCATAGTATATAGATAGTATATAGATATATCACATGCAACTTCTTATGCACATAATTTTCAATAATCTCTCTTTCTTACATTTTGGAAATCAAATATCATGCAATCTTCTCAATACAACTAGATAACGATTCTCCAAAATAAATATAGATTTTTGAAATAGGTAAGGAATAGAATAGAAATTGTATTCTATTGTTTGGTTCGATAAAGGAATAGACTTTAGAAGTATTATTATTCTACTGTTTGGTTGGTTTAAGGAATAGAAATAGAATATAGAATATAGAATATATATGTGTAAAAGACATAACTATCCTTATAATAATAATAATAATAATAATAATAATAATAATAATAATAATAATAATATTATTATTATTATTATTATTATTATTATTATTATTATTATTATTATTATTATTATTATTATTATTATTATTATTATTAGGAATAAGGTTCAAATTGGCCACTGAACGTAACCTGAAAATGCAATTAGGCCACTGAACGAAAAAAAAAAGTGCAATTAGGCCATTGAACACTCAAAAAATGTGCAATTAGGCCACTGAACTCTCCAAACATATGCAATTTTACCGATAGCAGGTTACCATCAATTTAAGCAGGTTACCTGCTTACGTGGCAGCTTAGTTGCCATTTTTAATAATTTTTAATTAATTTTTAATAATTAATTTTAATAATAAATTTTATAAAAAATTGGAAAAAATTAAATAAAAAATAAAATAAAGTTGTTTTTATTTTTTAAAAAAAAATTAATAAAAAATTATTATTAAAATTTATTAAAACTTAATTAAAATTTATTAAAAATGTCAACTCAGCTGCCACGTAAGCAGATAACCTGCTAAAATTGAGGGTAACATGCTATCAGGTGAAATTGCACATTTTTGGAGTGTTCAGTGGCCTAATTGTACTTTTTTTTCGTTCAGTGGCCTAATTGCATTTTCAGGTTACGTTCAGTGGCCAATTTGAACCTTATTATTATTATTATTATTATTATTATTATTATTATTATTATTATTATTATTATTATTATAAGATGTATAAATAATATTAATCAATATCAATTACAATATTGTAAAACCCTACCAAGAATCCCCTCGCACTCTCAATCATCTGCTACCGCCTTCGCCGTCGCCACCTTCGCAAACGTCACTCTCACTGGAACCTCCGGCTCTGCCTCTTTTGGTTTCTCTGTTTCCTCGGTGATTCTCACAGGCATCGACTCTTTTTGGAAGATTGGAATCCCTTGATAGTCGTCATTGTTTCCTTTGTCGTTGCGTGTTGAGATCGAATCTCAAAATTCGATAGCTGAAATGCTTTCTCCATTTGCTCTTTGATCGTCGCACCATCTAGACGATCAGCATCCAGATCACCTTCCTCGACCACACGCGATCGCTGGTCTGCATCTCCTCACCCAGTGACAAGAGAGGCGATTCGCAAAAACCCTACGTCTTCGTCTCCCGCCCCTTTGCCGGCAATCCAATCGGCTGATCAACGATCAGGTGGCTGGGACTGGGATGGAGTCAGGGAGGTGTCTAGGCTGCCACTGATCGGAATCAAGATCGGAGGTCGGTTGCCAATGACCGGATTGTCGATCGGAGGGCTCTAGTGCTGTCCGACAATTTGATCGGCGACCCCTGTTTTCCCGGCGAGCAGGGCAGAGCAGCGACGATGCCTTCTACGGTCTCTTCCTCTGTTCGGCGTCAAGTGTGACCTATTTTCCCCTGCGAGGAGGTGGCGCAACAGCTTTCACCTTCTGCCATCCATTTATTTATGTGTGTATGTTTAGAAAAAGGAAATTAATTTGGGGTGAGGGGGTAAAATAGGAAATAGCAACTTGGATATCAGGGGTGCCATGAATCTCTACTACTAAACAAAGAAATAGGCCTATTACCAGGAATACTATCCTATTACTGGAAATACTATTCCATTTCAGGCCTATCTTGCGAACCAAAGGTGCCATTAAGGCATCTCCAATAGGAGAATCTTTAGAGATTTTGGAACAATAAAATCTAACCCAACTAACTTTTATCAAATGGGGGTGTTGCATTTTGGAGAAAATTTTCTCCTGCAACACCCTCACATTTTGTCAGCAACTTGTCAGTATTTTTTTGGCAGTATTTTTTTTAAAAAAAAAGGGGTTAGACAGTGGCCCGCATGGGCCAAGAAGATTTGAGAGTGGCCGCCAGCTGAAGATCTTCTTTTTTTATATTTTTTTTGTTTTATTTTGCTGGCCGTTGCAAATGCAACGGCCAGCTTCTTGTTTTTTTTTTAAAAAAAAAATTATTTGGTTAACATTTTTGTTTTTTAATTATTATTTTATTTTTTATATTGTTATTAAATTTATATTTATTAATTAAATTAAAATTCTTAATTATCAATAATAATATTATCAAATTTATAATTATAATTTCTAGAATGATAATAAATAAAAAAAATAATTAAAATATGGAAATAAAATGGTGGGTCCACCAAAAGTTGTGAAAAACTTAAAACTAATGGGAAGAATAGATTTTGTAATTGAGTGAGATAGTGGATGATGAGGTGGATGTTGGGACCCACAAAAATCTGGGGTAAAATCCTCAACTATTGACGATGCCCTTAGAGTTTGTTTGGCAGAGCTCATTTTTAAGCTACTAAT